TGGTGTATGATGAGTGGTGTATGATGAGTGGTGTATGATGAGTGGTGTATGATGAGTGGTGTATGATGAGTGGTGGTTGAACAGCTGTTGAATGTCCGTAACACGGAAGTTTTGCACACTAAACTTCCTTTGATAAAGTTTAAAGATTGCCATCCGTAGTTCAGCCTTTCCTGCTCAAGGTTTCTCCCTTATTCGGAAGCTTCCTGTGTTGCACACATGTTCCGCTTAGGACACGTGTTCTCCTTGACAAACGTTTTTTACTAAAACAACAAGTGTCATCAGGCATATATCCAAGTCTTTCCGATGTCGATTTTTCCCAAGTTCCTTCCTTGAGAAGCGTTTTCATTGAAAGAACGTCATGCTTCAGAAAGCCTACTCCTGTGTGAATGCCTTGTCCAGAGCATCATCCTAAGTGCTATTTCACACTTTTCTTTTTGAGATCTAAATGCTTATATGCAGTAGACCTTTGCGCCAGGTCTCTTTCTTATGGAACTAATAATGCCACATACTATATCAGTTCAGTTCATGTCTTTGCAAAAGGCACCCTCCTTTACAAAGAACCATTTGTGTAAACTTGCGAAGTCTTCCTTTTCATCCCAATCTTCTATCATTGTTACAACATGCCGCCAACATAGCGTAAATGTGGTGTTTTGTGCACTTTGCTGCCCTCAAGTGTAGGCAAACATGCATTCTTGATGTAAGCACATTTGTAAGCAGCATTTTATTGAGAGTGAAACTTGCAGTGCCATGTCTTTCAAGCTTTCAATTTCTTTATTTCACAACGTGCTTACTGAACCACAAGAGGTCCCCTCTCCTGGTCCTTGTAACCGTGAACTGGGCAGGGACCGGGGTGCATTGGGCAGACCTGTCGGTCAATACCAAAGGCAAAAACACTAGGTGTTCTACTCACACCGAGCGGTGCTCCGGTCATTTGCACAATGATACGGATTCTTTGAAAACCAGGATTCTGCGATACAGAGTCTTCAATGTGAACTCACTGCTCTCAAAATGCAGATGCGCGAGGAAGAAAGGTGCATGGCCGTTCAAAAAGCTGTTTAGTCGAAATTAAAGCAATTTTGTGGAGGATGATTTCGTGCAGGTGCCATGCAGATTCCTTGGAAGTGCTCAAATCAACTCTGGAAGAGCAGCTGCAAGAAAATGAGCAACTTCGAGCAGAACTGAACCTCAAACGATCTGAATGCGAAGAGTCTTTTCAGCAATGTTACGCTGGTTGCTAGTCAGGATTTGCTGATTTGCTTGAAGCCACTTGACCACCACCTAGGATACAAATCTGGAACGACAATCGCTGTCTGCATCCTAAATGATATCGTGAAACTTGCAAGAAATTTCTGTGGCAACCTATGATGCATCCGGCTCAGGTTCGACCGACTTGAAGCACGCACCCTCGAAAGAGATAATTGTGGAACTCGACTGGAGGGCATGCGGATTCTGGTGAAGAACCTGAAGGACCATGTGTGCCAGGTGAACACATGCGCAGTGTTTGCCCTAAGCTGTGTGACTCCTGAAGGAAGAGTTGTGCTCTTGTCAGACGAGAACCTCTTTAGTCTCTGCAGAGCTTGAAACACTTGTAGTCCAGCGCCTTGCCAGATGAGAGATGGTCATCATAGTGCAGTATCTCCATGTACCTCCCCCAAAAGAGACTTGGTGTTGTGTTCCCAACCGCAACAGTAGCAGCTGCTGCCGAGGAATGCGGATTTGCAACACAATGTGGAGCAACTTTCCAAGTCATCGGCTCAACACAAGAAAGAGGCTGACAAATATCTAGCAGAGCTTCGGCGCAAGGTGACTTTCCAGCAAACTAGTCTGGCACTTCTTTGCAAAGCATGTGTTTGGCTCCCTGAAGCTGAGAAGGCCTTTTTCTTGGGCTCAGGTGGACATCACGGAAAAACAGCGGATCGAGCTCATGAGAGCACAAAAGGATCTGAAGGAAAGCAGAGCGGAGGTGATGAATCTCACAAGATTCCAAGCCTAATTCAAGCCTAGAAGGGGCTGCACTGGGCACACTGTGCACACTGTTCAGTGCTGGATTTGTCCCCAACATTTGCATTGCACATTCAGTACCCCTAAGGATCTGTAAGTCTTGAAGTCCGACGCAGAGAAGAAGCAGCAACCCGTTGCGCAGAGTTGCTTTGCTGCCATCCCTCAATGACCATTGAAGCTTGGATCGGAAAAGTGCCTTGGCACAAATCACAGGCATGGTAGGACACAAAGAACAATTTGTCAGCAAGGAGCTTTTGATTTATATCGTTGAAGTTCTGCATGTGGCATGTGGGGTCTCACAGGTTGTAGCAGGCAATAGCCATGCAAAGTATTTGGGATATATAATTTGCAGCAGATGCTCGTAGAACTGCGAATGTATTTTGGCCACGGGCGCAGGTGCGAGCATCCAAGTCTGGCGTGGCTTGGACGCGATTTGTGCAGCGATAGCTTTGTTGGTGTCATTGTTTCTGACTTGTTCAGCGTTCTTTCTAAGGTCAAACTGCACACTGCAAAGCAAGGATGATAATGCATTACAATCATATGTATATATCACGAAAGCTAGCGAAGCTAGCTGGAGTTACTCTTGCGATAGCAAGGTTTCTTTCGACCGGGTGCAAATCCTAACCCCTGATTATTCAGGTCGAAGACCCCCCCCCCCCCCCCCCCCCCCCCCCCCCCCCCCCCTCTCCCCCCCCCCCCCCTCCCCACCTCCCCCCCTCTCCTCCTCCTCTCCTCCTCCTTGTCTTCCTCCCATCCCCCCCCCCTCCTCCCCCTCTCCTCCTCCTTGTCTTCCTCCCATCTTCCCTCCCTCCCTCCTCCCTCCTCCCTCTTCGCAAGTTCGACTCCGTCCTGTCGTCGCTCTTTGGCATGCGGTTAGCGTTGCGTATCTTGCGGCCGCACTCGCTCACTCTCACTCTCACTCTCTCACTGTCTCACTGTCTCACTGTCTCTCTCATCTCTCTCATCTCTCTCATCTCTTGCTCATCTCTCTCATCTCTCTCTCCTCTCTCTCTCTCTCTCTCTCCTCTCTGTCTCTCGTCTTTCCGTCTCTCTTCTCTCTCTTCTCTCGCAGGAGGATCCCGGCAAAGAGCCACATATAAAGGACTCTTCACCCCTGCCTCCAAAAAGAGCGCCGTGTTTTTTCCTACCTCGCTGCCCTCCACTTTCCCATTCTGGAGCGCTAGCTTTCGCCCCCCCCTTGGCCTCAAGTATATATATATATATCTATATTGATGTTTGGAGTTGTAGGTATATATGCCCAAAAGGCTATTCTGTTTGGATGCTGGAATGACACAAACCAGGCAGATTGGCAGCTGGTCACTGGTGGTGGAGGACCAGAGCGAGTTGTCCTGCGATCTGGCCAAGACATCCAGCCTGGTTTGATGGCGTGCGAGGCGCGCCTTCATGCAGACGCAGAGATGGAAGATTTCAACGGGTGGATGCAGAGCGTTTTTTTGTTTTCATTTTTTGCAGTCTCTTGCCTAGCTGATCTTGATGGGTGCAGCCCACGTGCCAGACTCCTTGCATCATCATCAATCATCGTGAGCGAAAAGCTGCTAAGTGGCAGATGGAGTTGGCCGATTCAGATTGACACTTTCTACCCTGTCTGTTTTGCCAAAATGCCAAAAGGCTTGTGTCCATGTGAGCCAGGCTGGCAACTTTTCGCACACCGGATGAACATGTTGTTGCCACGGATGACAGATGATGTCGCAAGTAAGCAGCAGCAAAAGACGGCTTTTTGCTGTCACCATGAGGTCAAGCAAAAAACTGCTCGAGAGAATGGCCCCATTGATGTGAACATCTACAATGCATCAAACCAGGGGGCAATGGCACTGAGCTTAGTTGCCATGATTGTCATGAAATTGCAGCGAGATTGAGCCAGGACAAATTGTTGGTTTGTTTTGCTCAGGAGCCGAGTCGGAGGCGTGTGTCCTCAAGGCCTAGAGGCCCTGGCGTCTCCGGCGCCAATGTGTACGACAAAATCTGCCGAGCTTTCAACCAGCTACTTGGTGAGTGATGGTTGACTCGTTGCGCAAGAAGATCAAGACCACCAAAAGAAAGCGAAGGAACAGGAGAAGAAGCAGTAGAAAAGGAGGAAGGAAAGGAGAGGAATTACAACAAGTAACAAGCGCAACAAGAGCTAGAACCAGAGCCACATACTATTTTTGCTTGTGTGAGCCTAAAGCCTAAAAATCTAGGAACCAAATGATAAGTACAAGCACTTCTTCAATGAAGCTCCCCCCCAGCTGTTTGGATCAAGCCCACTCAGCTTACGCGCTGGCACGCGCCGGGGCTAGGCCACCTCCTCTTTCGGAGGGGTCTAGCGTCCACAGAGCTTGGCTCTCTCCAGAGCCGTGCAGTGCCATGGACACTAAGGAACTAAGATCCAAGCATGAGCTCCCAGCAGAAGGTGCGTTGATAAACTGGGCGATTGCGAGTTTGCCTACTAGCTTGGCTATCTCTGTCCAAGATGCCTTGAAGGCCATAGCTGCCACTGGTGTTTGCAATGATGAGCTTGCAGAGTGGGTGCTCTTTGGTGAGGTTGAGCAGGTACACTGTGGTCCGCCACAATGTGTGCAGGTGCGCAGAACCTCCATGCTTCTTCAGGATGGCTTGCTGGCCAATGACGGTTGGAAGAAGTTTGAGATTTGCTGTCATGCAGATCATGTACGTGTTGATTTCTCACCTGGCATGTTTCTTGGCCTCCTCACGAAGCCTTGTCACAGACCAGTAATTGGAAGGGTGATCGCAGATGATCAAGTGCTGGTGTGGAATATTTCGCTGCTAGATTTGAACCTTGCCTGGAACGCTTCCCACCTTTTTTCAGGTGCATATGAAGGATGGATGAGATCAATGTGTTGGCTCCAACAAGCCAATGTTGGGCAGTCATTCGCAACGCACACATCAATTGACTGGTGTCCTGAATTCATGAAAACTTGGGCCTATAATCACAACAAAGACTTCTGGTGTAGTCCGATCAAGGAGACTTTCAATCCAGCCATCAGTGACTCATCGATTCTACGTGCCTCCTCGAACAAATCAAACTTGGTCATGACATTATCTCCTCCATGCCCTAGCTGGAGCAAAGGCGGCAAGAACTCCGGGCTTGCAACTGAAGAAGGGTTCTTCTTTCTTGATGCAATTCACCATGTAGCTCGCTGCCGGCCTGTCTTGGCGCTGTTCGAATGCTCGGATGGCATTGAGGCGCGCCCTCACTGGCGTGCTCTCTCAGCTGGACTCCAATTACCTGGGTACACCAAACTCTGGTCACAAGATGTAGCCATCCATCAGCTCACGGGCAATCACAGGACCCGTTGGCTGGCAGTATGGGCTAGAAGAGATGTCAAGAGTCAGAAATCACATGAAAAGATGATGTGCAACATTCAACGACGCCTGGCATGGGATGATGCTCAGCACTTGTTTGCTTTGCCCAGAGCCTTGTATGCTGACCTCACCCTACAACGTGATTTGATCGAGATCTATGGTGACAAGAAGTTGCTACCTTCTGCCAAGCGAGCTCGGGTCGATGAGGCGGCTACAGCTTCACAGGTGCTTTCTTCTCGTTTGCTACAGCCAGGGGATTACCTGCCGACATTGTGCGCCTCTTATACAGCACAGCATTTACTACAGCGTGAGCATGTTGAAGAGAGGGGCATTTTTGCTACGCTGCTGCAAAAAGAGGCTGAATTTCGGTTCATTGACCCCTTTGTCTTTGTTTCGCTCTTTGGAACATCTGATTGCATTGCGTTGCCAACTGATATTCGTCGAGCCTTTCATCAACTGGGGAATGCCATTTCACAGTTACATGCATTGGTAGCCATTCTCTTTGCCATCGAAGGAGTTTCTGATGAACACATGTCAAAGCTGACACTTGTCCGGCAGTGTTGGGATGATCGACTGACATCCAAGAAAGCAATTGTCCGCACCTGTGGTGATATGTATGTCCTTCAGCCGATTGCCGATTTTGCGGCCAAAGCCATACCGAGCGTTGGTACATGGCAACCTTGGCTTGTGGGTCACACTTTGATTCGATTCTGTGATGACGCAGCGCTCATCCCAATCGATGTGCAGGAAGAAATCAATGTCATTGACCAGCTGCTTAAAGCTCTACAGCTTGAGCCACATCATGCTGACATACTGAAATTGGTCTGTGATGGTCATGACCTGCCTCGCCATGTTGGGTGGAACGAGTTGTCGGCTGGAGATCTAGGACTCAGACTTGGGACTGCTGATCTTGGGACGCTGAGAGTCTTCTGTACACATATTGATGAAAGGGTTGATGACCCTATTGTGTCACCCACTCAACCTTGGACCATTGATGAAGCCGACCCCGAATTTGATCATCTTGTTGAGGCCCAGTCCACTGGATTCCTACATGTGATTGAACACCTTTGTCAGGATGGAAATCCGGTCCACACCGGCAAGGTGCTCTTTCTGCTGCAAGACGGTTCATCGGAATGGATCAGTGGTGCCAACTTGGATCGCCTTGGAAGTATTCCAACGTTTCGACATCCAGGAGACGCAGTTCATTTCTTCCAAATCAACCGTGAGGCATGTCGCGTCCTGCTTGGAACTCAGGTTGTCATCGCCATTCGTGGGGACTACGAGCCCCTCTCCAATGACAAGTGGATCTTGCTCGCTGGTGGAACTGACCTTAAGTGGTGCAAAGTTAGCAATGTACCCCAAGGAGTCACCCCTCGTCAATGCAGCATTGAGCTCCAGCAGAACTGTCGAATTACCAAGCGAAACCTTGCAGAGTGCCGACATGATCAACCATTGATGTTGATAAATGGTGACCTTCTCTGGTGTGATGTGCGAGTGCAGTATGCATCATCCATTGTGTTTGGTGGCATGGACAGACTTACCGAAAACCCAAGCTGCAACATTTATGGTGACAGAGTTACTGAGAGGCTGCTCCAATTCAATCTTGAGCCTGGTGCACTTGCAGTTGATGAACTCGTATTTCACTTCGATTTTTTGCAAATGCTGATGCCTGCAGTTTGCTGGTGCCCTCCCGCTATCTGGATCAGCACTCAAGCACAGTTTCGATTTCCTCAGCAGCCGGCTGACCTTTTGCTGTGCTTTCAGCATTTTGTGGTACCGATCCTGGTGCTCTTTGATTGGATCTTTGTCGAGGTGAGGTTCTTTGAAGGGCAATGGGGAGTTCTCTACCACTCCCCTGAGCAACTGACACATAGACAACGACAAGCTGTGCTGGAGCTTATTCATTTCATGGGGGTTCAGGTGATGCCCAATGCATTTCGCTGGATTCGAACTGCAGAGGACTCAGAACTTGCCCCATGGTACACACTCAGAAGTTTCTATGCCAGGGCAGGGGCACCTTTGCTCCCATTTACGCACCGAACCACTCAGCGACTTCAACGAGTTCAGAACAACCATCATGTCATGCAAGTGATTGATCAAGCTGACATGGTTTGGAGAGAGTCGCAGGTTGATGACAGGATGCTCCAATTTGCCAGAGCTAGCAGGAATGCTTTTCTGGTAGCTATCATGGAAGCACCAAGTCGTGCTGAAGACTTGAACATTCGTGCTACGGGACGCCCCCCACATGGTTACAACATCAATGAGATCTTCCTTGTTGCTGATGAATGGCTGGAGATGAGGTTGAATGTGTACCGAACTCATCCGGGGTGGGCTTCTAATGACGAGATTGAGTTTGCATTGGCCTTCTTCTTGCCTGAATCCTTTTGTCCACCGGTCTTGCACCATGATCTGTCAGTCATTGCGGCTAGTGTCAAGCCCCTCTCAGATGAAGTTCAGCGCTTTGTTGCACTTCGGGAAGGGCATTGGGTCGGCATTGAGGTCATTTGCAATGCCAGAGAACACACTTGTAGGGTTGTGTTCCTTCAGGTGCCTCCAAGAGACCAACAATTTTGGGCAAATTTTGCTGAGGACTTCATCGTCCCCTTTGGGTTTCGTCCGATCATCATTGTGGATACCAATCGAACCTGGCCGGGCATGTGCGGATGGGAATTGCTCCATCGCTGGGTAGTGGCGGATCTGGCCTTGCCAGACACCTTTCATGTGCCACAACAGAAGAGGCAGATCATTGACCAGATCCTTGAAGAGTCTAACCAGGCATGGAGAGCTACTCGTGCACCACCCATGCTGCGAACATATGCAGAAAATATGAGACGGCTCTTCCTGGTCGTTGGTGGGCAACAACTGCTCCACCCATGCTCCGCCTTGTCGCTTGGGGGAATGGAAGCCTCAGTACCATCTGACGCTGCGATGGCAGCTCCAGATCCTTGGCAGTTCGAAGACCCATGGACCAACAAAAAGAAATCGGCACGACAGAGTAAATGGGAAGATCTTCAGCTCCAGTCTGATCATCCTTTTGTTGACAAGAATAAGACTCCAGTACCTTTCGTGCAGAAACAGCAGCTCTCCACCAACAAAGGAGGTATCGCCTTTGTCTCCAAGGGAAACCCCCAACAAGCCAAAGAGGTAGTGCCCAAGGAGCCATGTGCGCTTTTGCTTCCTATGATCGATCCGATGGATACTTTGGGGAAACTGCCCAACCTGTCTGGTCCCTTCGGAGTCATTGTCTGTGACCCGGCCTTGAATCAGGAGTACAAGAGGCAAGTCCATTTGTTGGTCCTCACACCTGAAGTCACTTTCAAGTTACCAACACCTTCCATCACACTCACTCTGGCTGCTGTCAGTGAGATCGTCTTGGAGTGTGATGCCCGTCTGACAAGCAAGGACACGTTCAATGCCTTTTATGACAATCCGTTGGCCAAGTTCAAGAGTCACCTCAAGGAGGTATGTTCTGACCCAATTTGGGGTCATGCTGCTATTTATGGCTACAGGATCATCCAAGACCACACCAAAAACAAGCATGACGTCGTCCATCAATGCCTGTTGAAGGTGCAGCAAACTCATCGCATACCGCTCTTGGCAGCCAGTGAAACAGGTGAACTCATTGTAAGGGATTTCGTTCCCAAAGGTGCACAAGTACCAGACCTCTCTATCATTCCAAGATTCTGGCCAGTGGATCGAACCAGCAAGGCTGATTTGATCAAAGCAGCTGCTACCATCACAGGCTACAGAGGAATTGCTGTGACTAAAAGAGGATTGGCGCCAACATTTGCAACTGATGCACTGGCTACGGCTCGTGACTTGCTGCTTCCACAGGATGATCGAATCTGTGCTATTAATAAAGCTATGATCCCAAAGATCAACATGGACAGCTTGGGTTGGCCTTATGAGATCCTTGCCAAGGACATTGTTTCCGCGGTTTATCAGGCGACCAAAACACCGTGCATTCCAACCAGGTCCTTTCGGAGAGCGGGCGTTTGTGCCTGGACCTTGTCCTTCGAGAAGCCGCCTACGGTTTCCAAATTCTCAGTGCAGGTCAATGAGAAAACCTTCGAGGTGCTGCTCACTCCAATCGCCTACAAACCTCCTTCGAAAGGAAAGGGCAAAACGTCCAAGAGCCCCCAAGCTGGTGGACAAGAGAATACTCAGCCTCGCACAGTCGTGTCCAAAGACATTCATCATGAACGCATTGACCGGCTTGAAGAGCAGGTTGGACGACTTGAGCAAAAGCATGAGCACCTCAGTGAGAAGGTTGACAACCAGTTCGCGCACGTCGGAGACCAGCTGAGGCAGATTTTGCAGTGCGTCCAGCCGCGACAGCGCGAGCATGGTGAAACCCCGCCACCTGTGAAGCATCATAGGGCGGCTTGACAAACAACGAAGAGTGTCAAGAAGGGGCGAGGGGAAGAACGATGCTTCCTTTCCCTTTGCCCTACAATATGGTGGGCCTACTTCCAGGTCCAGGGGATTTGTGCTGGTATTCACGTATCACTGCTTCTTGGGACGATTCCTTTGAGCTTTTGGTTCGAACGTCCTGCGTTTGCGGTTATACTGCCAGTTTTTTCTATGGGTTTTACTTTGTGGGACTACCTACAACGTGTCCGCCCACATGGGGAATTGTGGGACGATTGCTTTCAGCCTTGGTGGTCCGGCCACCTTTGTCCTCCAATGCTACTTTGAGAGGGGTGATGTACAACATCCTCATGCTAGCAGGGTTCTTTGCATGACCCTTCATGTCACTTGGGTCTTGATGATGCTGTGCTCCCACCACTTGGTGAAGGAGAGGGCCTCTCCATCTTGCCCCTTGGTTTTGCGAATTCAGAATTTTGTTCTTGGAAGCTCTTATTTGCGTGTATACCAAGTTCTTGATCAGTACGACTGGGAACACACTTGGTGTCAGACTGATGTTAGATTGATTTCCTCCGGCCTAGCCCAACACTGGCAGCCTGCTTGGTTTGACAAAACTCTGGGATTTCCGGGTGAAGGCCCTCATTGGTCCATGATTTCGGCAAATGTTGACTCTTTTGCTACGAATGCAAGTTGTTTGCAATGGGATGCTGACGTTTTCCTGCTTCAAGAAGCAAGAATCGCGGATTCCAACATGCTGGACGCCAAACGGAAAGCAGCGCTCTGCAATTTTGAGCTCTATTGTTCCCAACCACTGCAGAAACTTCGGGCAAGCAACGGGACCTTCAGAATTCCCTCAGGTGGCACCGCCACGTGCGCCCGCAAGGAGTTCACCCAAATTTTTGACGAGAAGCAGAATTTGTCAGGTTCATGGGAGCTGCTTCGGAGTTCTGCCCGCGTTACAGCTACTTGGCATCAAGTGTCCAGTAGTGTCAAGCTTCTTGCTTTCAATTTTTATGCCATTGCAAATGCTGCCTCGGAGAGAGCCAAGTTTGAAAGAAACAATGAGATGCTCAACCAGCTTTTCATGGTGGCGGCTCAGTTCGGCGACATTCCGATCGTTATTGCTGGAGATTTTCAGATGGAGCCTGGCATGTATCCAGCAGTCCAGCTTGCTCTAGACAAATGGGGGTGGGCTGACCCGCTGCTCCAAACTGATGACGGTGGTGAGCTTTTCCGACCTTCAACGTTCTTTCAATGTGCTGCTACAGAGGATGGTGAAGGCCAGTCATCCATCGATGGCATTTTAATGAATCGCACAGCCCTGACTGCTTTGGTGAAGATTGAAGTTCTAGATCATCCTGATCGACAGCATAGGCCAGTCCAAGCACATTTTGCTTGGACAAGAATCCAACAAGTTGGAACGGTCCTGCAAAACTTTGCTAAGCTCAATCTGGAATGGGTTGATATTTCCAACACAGGGGATCCTGCATGCCCAGTGAACCTTCTTGGAGAAGAACTTTGGTGCACTTATCAGCAAAATTTTGACAGTTCGACCAATGCCAATATGAAATGGGAGATCCAATGACTATGCGATTAAGCTCCTGTTGCTCAATGGTGCTACGTGGACAAAAGGACCTCGCCAACGGGGCACACTCCCCAAGTTCCGGAAGCTCAGCTATTGTGTGGCTCAGGAAGGTGCTGGTAACCCTGCTTCACCGCTTCTTCTCCTACTTCAAGCATGTTTGAGGTCGCTAAGAGAGCTGTCTTACAGGTTTGCACGATCGACGACAGGAGATGGTGACTCTCGGACTTTTCACAATACACAACGCCGCGTGCTGCGTAGATTGAAAGAGGCACGCATTGTTCCTCTTTCTGTGAATCAGATTTTTTGCCATGACCTGCAGCGTCTGACAGAGGTCACACTGGCGGCAATCAATGCTGAACTTAAGCAGATGAAGATAGCGGCCATCAAGAAATGGCGAGAGGCCATGAAACAGGCCACCACCTCACTCTCCATTGGCAAGATTGTCTACCAGTACTTGAAGCGGAAAAGACGAATCGTCCCGCCCAACCTTGTTGAAGACGATGTGGGTAACATTATCTATGACCCGCAGTGCGCAATGGATCACATTGCGGGCAAATGGGACAGTGTCTTTTCGGTCAATGCAAGCCACCTACATGACATGCAAATTCTGAAGCAGGTCTGGCCTTACATTCATGACAAGGGTCAGAAAGTTGCATTACCACCTGTCACAGAGTTACAGTTGTGGGAACAAGCTTCTCGCCGTCGTCCAGATGCAGCAGCAGGACTTGATGGGTGGACCACTCCTGAAGTACAGGCACTTCCACCGTCTGCCTTCAAGCCTGTGGCCTCCCTCTTCAATGACATCGAAGCAGGGAATGCCGAGTTCCCTACCATCCTTACTCAAGTCAAGATGAATTGCAGGTTCTGTGATGCACCTAAAGAATCCATGCAACACTTCGTTGACGAGCGCACACAGTTGCCAGAGGAGCTTGTCCAGCCTTTCTCCACTACAAACTTTGGGCCAAACTTTGAAATGCTGGGAATTGCTGAAGTTTCTCTGGATAACATTCGACGTAAGCTGATTGTTTCTAAAACCTCGGACATTCAGGTGAACCCATGGCAGGAGCCACTTGCTGGAGTTGCGCATGTTTGGACTGACGGATCGGTACAGCTCAACCGGTACCCGTGGCGAAAAGAGGGCATGTTCAGTCTTCGAGTTGGCAGTGTTCGCCTTCAAGCAGGGGTGGCGTTTTCGTCTCCCATCAGGAGCGCTGTCGACACCACAGGCTTATGCCAGCATCATTCGAGCCTCCATTTCGTACTGCAAGAACAAAAACATTGTCGTTGCTCCGCTACTACTCGATAAAAGAAACAAAAGCAACGGCCGCACCTTTCCAAAAGGAACATTTTTGGGTGCGGAGGCATACCTAGATAATGCCACTTTAGAAAGGCTATGCCGAGCTTTCATGCGTGGGGCCAAAGAAACCCCACACTCTTGGTGCATTCCATTTGATGCACTTTTGTGATCTTTTAGGGTTCCTAGACTGCTACTGCGGAAGCTTAGCAGTTGCCGACGACTCCGTGATGCGGCTTGAGAGCAAAAAATGAAGCTCCCCCCCGCCCTCAGGCAGGGGAGCTTCCTATCCTGCGTCCAGTTACTAGGAGCTCACTTAGCCCTTAATTAAGTAGGTGCAGGCCACGGGCAAAAAAGCAATGGAGGCCTGATGCCACAACCACCCAGTTTCTCCCTTCCTAGGAACGCTCTCGTGTATGACCGCTACTTTGGAGTTGTCCGGCCTTTTCCAGATGCTGGTTCTTCACCGAGATCATCAGCTTCTTGCCGCTGAAAAGCATGTTGTTGCTGCCAAGAGCAAGGGTTGATGGGAGCGGCGGTGGTTGACTTTGACGACACTGTTGATGTTTCTTGATCAGTCAATTGCTTGTTGCGCTTGCTTCGCTTGCTTCTGATGCCTGGTCTCAGGCATCTAGCTCTTGAACGGGCAATGCTTTGGGTTTGGATGACGGCAATGAGTGGAAGAAATAGTTTCAATTCAATTGTTTTCAAAGCCAAGTCAGGCACGGCTGACTTGATGCTTGTGACCGAGTCGCCGGTTGATCTTGCTTCGTGACCCCCGTTCCTTGAGCATGTCAAGGGCAGAAACTTCTTTTGGGTTGTTCTATTGCCGGTCTTTGATGTCTGGATCAGTGGCGATGGCCTCTTGAAGTAGAATTTCGGGCGTTTGTCCAGAAGCTTAGCGCTGTTCCACCTGAAGAGCAGGTCGGAGGAAATGGAGTTTTGCGATTTAGGCAGCTGCACTGCAGGGCAAGCATATCACAAATGTGCAATCCACTTCCCACACTGTCAGATCCTTAGTGTTTCCCTGCCAGACACCCAAAAACTCAGCCTCACCTTGCTGATGCGCAGTTGTTGTCTGATGTGCTGTCGGCGTTTAAATCCCGGGCAGTATGTCCGCGACCCAACTGCCAACAGACTGTCTGGCGCGTGTTTGTCACGCTCCAGCAGGCTTGTTTTCAACTTTCAACGTCGGTTGTACCTTCCTGCTACTCCAAGCTCGGCCCTTGGTCATTCCACATTGAAAAACAGTGACAGGCACAGCTCTGATGCGCGTGTGCGCTCAACTTTTCTAGCATCTCTCGGCAGTTCTGTGGGCGAAGCCCCAGAAGGTCACTTCCCTTGCGACGATCGAAACGGCAAGTTTCAAAAAGAAGGATCTAGGAACCAAATCATTAGTGCGAGCGCTTCTTCAAGAAAGCTCCCCCCGCCCTAGGGGGAGCTTCCTTGAAGAAGCGTGAGCCATCCTGTGTCCAGTTGCTAGAAGCTAACTAGTCGCACTTACTTAATTGTGTAAGTAAGGAGGCAGGGCCACGTCCTTAAAAGAAAAGGCCAATACATTGAATGTCTTATCCTGTGTGACTAGCTGTGCCAACCATTGTCGAATTTGCTAGGACCGTGGCCTGACCATTATCCCTATGGAGGATGGTGATTTGGTGTTTGAGATGTTTTCGGCACCTTGAGATGCAGGGCTGCTGCTTTTCTGATCCAAATCTTTTCTTCAGGATACATGGTTAAAGCGGAGCTGCCAGATGAGCGGCGAGCTGCAACCCTTTGAGCTCATCTACGTGCCTCGAGGCAAACAGGGCTGCGAGAGCTCCACACAACACATGCAACTCACTTTTGCTGCGTCGTGCTCATCCACATGAAGTGCTTTGTGGTGCATTTTGTGATGGTGATTCACAGGTGTTCCAATCTACCTCTCCAAACGAGCTGAAATCGTTGACGAGGCGCAGGGGCTTGCAAGAAGGTTCAAGCAAACTTCTAGTGATGAGGATTGTTTGGCAGCAGGAGTGGGAGCGAGCTCGGCATCAGCATGTCCATTTGCACCGCAAGGCCGTTGCGAAATACTGAAGCTTGTCAGCTTGGGTGGGGCCATGCAACCACCTTTTGCAAAGGTGATGTTGGCATCTCCTCCAGTCACCGTCAAGCAGGCTGTAATCATAAAACGGACTGCAAGTTGTGCGTGAACATGTCAACCAGCCAAGCGGAGCGAAGCCAGGAGCAACATGAGATTTTGGTCGGGCAACGTGCCGACCTTGGAAGTGACACGAGTTTGCCACCTTGCCATGGGTGCCATATGCTTGCCGCATCTTGCTGCCATTTCATGCCTGACAATGCAAAACACACATAAGGGCGACAGAAACATCCCTAAGAATTTTATAACTACTTACTGATTCTTTAGCAAACAGAATCATTATCATAAACATCATAAAAGCACAAAATGGCAAACTCCACGGCTCCGTCCTGTTGGTTTGGCGAAGGGAGCGAAGACCGAGGGACAAAGATGCCAACGATTGTTTGAGTAAGATGATTGTGCAGCATCGCCATGGTGTTGCCGGCCTTCCGTCTCCTAAGTGGGAAGGACGGGAACAGCAAAGGAGGGCATTGGTGGGCCTCCCGTCCTGGGCATTTCGTCCATTGGCCTCTAGGATTCCCATATACTTTTGGGGGGTGGGGGGGGCATATCTCAGAGACATGCATTCGCGGACACTTCAAGGAAATCCGTCCGCCACAACTCATGTGACGCTCGCGTGCAGGCCATCCCTGTCTCCAGCAAGCTGAGCGATGCTCGTGTTGGTGATGTGAAACGATTTCTGGCGGAGACGCTGAGTGTTCCGCACGGCCGTTCCTTGACTATAGAATCTAGAAAAAGTAAAGAAAATAACGTACAGCAAGGGCCCTTATAAGAAGGCAAGGCCTTACTAAAGAGACCCTTACCTTCAACTCCATCTTCTGAAAAGGGCAAGTGTAGTAATTAGTCATTAGCCTTAAGCCTTGGGCCCAACCGGAAGCTTTGTCCCGTTCAGTGTTTTATGTTTCCATCTTCCTTCTGCTGTAGAATTATTGCATGCAAGGCTTGCAGCTTCTGGGTCCAGACTCTTTCTTGGAAGATGCGGTGCCAATCGCTGCCTTGGGACTCGAAGATGTGTCTGCAGCGGGCTTAGAGTGTAAAGGCAGTAAAGGGGCAAACACATGCAACCACGCTTTTTATCAATGTTATCTTTTTGACCACTGAGATCTCAAGCCTCTGTGCCACAAGGTTTGCATATTACCTGATGCGCTGGAAACTCGTTTCGCCAAATATGCTGGAGTGGCAAGCTTTGATGAGCTGCAGGGATGTGCAGCAACACAGCCGCAACAAGTAACACGAGATTGACCTGCCTATTGACCTGCCTTGTCAATGGTTCCAGCATGCTTGGCCAAGGAATTGAACATTTCTCACAAAGGGCTCAAGGTATTGCCGGAGCGTTTCGGGCTCACATGCAGCCGCTTAAAGTCATTGCAATTGACATCGTTGCAGCTCCGGAGTTTACCAGCCACTTGTTTGAAGCTCATGCATTGCCATTTTCATCCTGCTGAATGGCCATGCTCGCAGCAATCAAGGATAGCTTTGGCCTCCTTTCAGCAATGGAACGTTTGGCCAGAGGCCCAAATTCCTATGATTCTTGAATGTGTAGGGACGGTTTCTCGTTTAGCTAGCCGCTGGCGATTGCATGATCTCTGTATTTCCGTATCGCCCTCCCAAATATGGGGAAGGCTTTCTGAGAAGGTCTTGGACAATCTGGAGCATGACATGTCAGATTCGTGTGACATTGCGGAGAAACGTGACTTCCCAAGTGTGAGGTCTGTTCTTACTGCACAGGTGCAGTGTTTCGTGAGGTTGACTGTGTGCGTTGCTGTGCCATTGAATTGGCGTCCCCAGGGTGGTCACTTCACTGTGCCATTAGGCTTTGCTCTTGAAGGGTTTGCATTGAAGCCGTATTTTCATGACGGCTCTGGGCTCAAGTTGTCATGTTGGGTGAGTCAGTCGCAGAGAATCATGAGGTGTCGCTGTTCCGTTAGACGTGTCAGTGGAATCTTTTGGGAGGGGCTTGGATGGCGAAGCTGCTTGGCAGGTTCGATCTGATGAGACTTCCTGCTTCACTCTTGACTGTCGTGCGACATGCTGGTTTTGAAGTCTTGGCATCACTTTTGGAGGGAGTCTCGTACCAAGCGCTCGTTTTGGAGACTTCCCATCTCACTTTTGGAGCTCAAGCTCAGAAGTGGGCCGCTTGTAGTACAAATGTGCTGCGAGGAGAGTGTCGAGCAACAGTACCTCCCACAAGTGAAGTGTCACGCAAGGGTCCTGCTACAAGAGCCCCGCACAGGATCAAGAGTCTCGCATAAAAGTGTCAAGCCCGAGTGCCTTACAAGAGTTTCCTAGAACAGTGTCACACAAAAAGGTGTCACACAAGAGACGTTCAAGACACAGTGTCCTACAAGAGTGTCGCGCAAACATGTTATGGAAGAGCGTTCCACAAAAGTGTCCTGTAAGAGTGCCACAGTCTGCGATATTCACATTGGGTTGCATTCGGGTTCGTGGGCTTCATTCCGTTGGTTTTCAAATCTTTTCAAGATTCGGCAAGTGTTCAATTCGGAGTTGCCGAGGTTATCATGCATTGCAACATCTCTGAATTGCCGCATCTTGGCTCCGAACTGTGCGGCACCTAGTTTTTGCATGTGCTGCTTGGTGCCGAGTCGCCGAGGCCATCATTTGTCGAGCTTTCCAGCCTGCAAGAAGTCACAATCTCTGCCTGCCAGCTGGCTACGCTTCCGAAGGAGCAAAAGACTTTTGCCCGGCGACTAGAATCTACTTGAATCCCACGGCAGGATGTCCAGAAGCTGGAGCAGCTGAGGTGCCACCGGCCTGTTTGTGTTCGATGCACTCGCTGGCCAGCTCGGATGTTGTTGTGCCAGGTTGCTTCACTTAGTCGAGAACCGCCTTCACTCGTTGCCTGAGACTCTTTTGCACTGTTGTTTCTCACTGTATAATGTTGCTACATGTTGCTACTGTTGTCGTGCCGTGTCCTTTGATTGGCCTGCTTACGTCAAGGAGAGGCTGGGGGAGCTGCTTTGCTTGGAAGTTCTGGAGGTGGATTCAAATCAACTTGGAGAATTTCCCAGTGCTCAAGCTGACTGTCCACGACTGCGAGTGTCATGGCAACCGTGCAATCGTGCAAAAACCGTTGCAATGAAGATACGATAGGCTATGCCATCGGGTATTGGATCTATATACGTAGTTGGATTGGCTTCACCTTGCCCCTGGTCGGCTCTAGTTGCAAATTGTCCCATGGCCTTGTGTGCTTATTGAGCCGAGGTTCTTGGACTTTCAAGGAACCTTTTGCGAACCCTTGACCTTGCGGTAAATGGTCTGGAAGAACTACGTCTTGCTGGTCCCGGCCCTGGTCAGGAAGTCTTTTCAATCGTTTTGACATGCTTGCAGCTTTCTGTTGTCATAGTGGCTGCAGTGGAGAAAAGCTCAGGTAACCGCCTGTCGAAGCTTCAGAGCGTTGGTACCCTGAAGATGCTGAAGGACAGGCTCCAGTTTTTTGCATGTCGATTTTATAGATGCAAATTGAATAGGAATTTCAACTGTTTGCGGACCCGAGGCATTCAGGTTGAACAGGTGCTACGGGGCGTTGCCTTGGTTTGTGTCTTTCCCGAATATATAGCGAATGGTTCGTTGGGGCTTTGGGGTTGAGGCTGTGTTTGCTCGATGTTGCCTCAGCGTTTGAAAGCCGTCGCAATCCTCCGCAAGCGTCTGCGAGCATGCGCAACCTGATCCCCATGGCCTCTCATTGGGGGAAGGTTTTGGCTGGGAGCAGATGGATGGACGAAGTGTCCGACTTTTGTGCAGTAGCGTTAAAATGTGACCGTTGATGGTGTGTGGTGCTTTTTTGTTCTTTTTTCTGCGCTGTACTTTTGGACATTCCTCAGCGTAACCCCGATTGTCCTACATGGGCCCACAGTGGCATGTCATGCTAGGCTGTTCCAGGTCCAGACGGTTTGCTGCTTGGAAGGAGCTGCAATGCCATGGAAACCCCCTGCGGCCATTACCAGAAGATTTCGGTCAGCTTCAGGGATTGCGCCGCTTGCAGGCTGGACGTGCCTAGCAGATTTTGAACGTCCCGCGTGTTTGCTGAAGATCACAAGCATCACCATGCTGTGCCAGGAGTGACATTTTTCTGTTTAAAGCATTGGAGGCAACCGGTTGCCTGCTGGAGTTTCTGCCTTCAAGCCATGGGCTCAGACAGACCTCGACAACAGGAGCAGTTCCCGGGGAACGACTTTTGTCTGGGGTTCTTGACTCAGGCTTTGCAGATTTGCGGAACCTGGAATTTTTTGATGTTGCGCGGAATCAATTGAGGACTTGAGTGAACTTGAGTGGACTTGAGGGCTAGAAGTGGAGTGCTGGGAGTGAGAAGCATCCAACCCACGCAGAATTTCAGGACTTTTCCTGAAGACCTCGGCCGCCTGTGCTCGCTGAAGGAGCTGGTGGCCAATGGAAACCGACTGCAGCATCTTCCTTCAAGCTTTGGCACCTTGAGCCTTGAACCTTGAACACTACCTTCAAACTACTTTAAACATGCAATCTTGGTTTATGGTTAGTTGTCTCTGTACCTGTTCCGCACAGAGGCAACCTAGCGTCCTTGAGATTGTGTTTTTTGTAGCTCGACTGCAACAATTTATGGTCACACTGTCAACGCATTTGTGACATTTGTGGTGTGGAGTCGGAAACTGAGCCGTGTTTTCAATCATGGACCAGACATTTGACAACTAGTCAGGAATGCCAATGAGCTTGTTCAACTTCCTGAATCTTTCGGAAGATTGCAGGGTCTTGAGGACAGCATTTTCAAACCCGCCTCACTCAACCACCTCGATGCATCTTAAAGGTTGTTTTGCATCAGTTGGGCAACGGCAGACCACATGGAATGGGCATTCCTGGCTTTTGAGGAGCTCTCCCTAGCAGAGAACAAGCTCGAGTCTCTCCCAGAGTCCTTTGGAAAACTTATTTCGCTCCAAAAGGTCCAGCAGCTTGGCAACAAAGAAAGCAGCATTGCGTCAGCAGAATTGCGTCACGTGCAATGGTTTCTTCCAGTATATTGACGAATAGTAGAACTCACAAGAATTCAGACGGCTTCCCAATGCAGTCATTTGCGCTGAGGCTTTCAAGAAACCGCCTGACTTGCATTCCCACAGCGGTTTGGCAGTTGCCGAACTTGAGGGGCTTCGAAATCCTGGGCAACTGTTTGGAATCAAATGCCGAACGAGAAGAGGGCTCGCCGCTGTTCCACTTGAGGGTCCGTTGCAGATGATTTGACACCTCTAAGTGCCAGTTGCTGGCTCCATTTGAAACGCTTAGGTGATAGCCCCCTGCCAGTGAAGCTGCTTCAGCCATGAGGAGAGCTGCTGGTTTAGGCAACTTGCGTGCGCAAGGCAAAAGGACCACGCTAGCATCGGGGGTGTAGAAATGACCACTCACTTGCAAGCAGGTGCAAACAGGCATACATCGCTCACTTAAAACTTCAACGTGCTGCTGATGCAGCGTTTCTGCAAGCTGAAGTGTATAGTAGAGCTCCCTGTGGTCATGCACGTGTCAGTCACTCGTATCTAGTGTGAGGATCGTGGTGTTGTGCCATGCAGAGCCAAGGTTTGAAACACCTGGCAATACAACACAATTCTGAATTTCTTTTCATTGTTCTCGATTCCATTTTTGCAGCATGCACGGGACGCTGACGCTCAGAATTGACTCGGTATGAGTTTAGTGAGGGGATGTATCTCCTGTCTCACCGCAGCTCACAGATATCCCAAATCCTGTTTGGATGTAGTTAGTTAGTATGTCGCTGCTTATTCCGACGCTGGCAAGGCACTCAGCGCTGGACTGAAAGACTCGACACTAAAGCGGGGAAGGTACCCGTCCCTGAAGAAGCAGCATTTTTCATCATCCCTTGTGGTACATTTGACAAGGCCCCGTCATTGGCTGATTCAGCTGTGCCTGCGTCTGCACGACAGCCTCCCCGCAGAGTGCCCTCCTTGGTGAAGCGCAGCGTTGAAGTTCAAGGTCCAAAGGTCTAAAGGCTTCGCGTCGTAGCTACTAGTAGCTAGAAGCGACATGAAGCGACTAGTAACAAAGGGCATCGCTACCAGGAACAAGAAGCTACTAGTAGTGCTACTAGTAGCTCCGGGCATTATTTTTAGTGTGGCCCTTGAGGTTGTCTCAGAAACTGGCCGGGAGCATGCAATGCCCTGGCAGAGTTCCCGGAGGAGGCACCGCGCTGTTCCTTCAGCCAGTCCAAAAGCACCAAAGGCTGCCCGCCATGTTGCCCTGCCAGACCATTGGTGAGCCAGACTTGGTTGGTACTGCCTGTGGCCTGCAGCTTTGCAGGCAGGGGGCCTCATGGATTCGGCTGTCTCTAAATAGTTCCAATAGAACCCCCCAGGACGGGCAGGACAGAGGCGAGTGGCGAGATGCCGAAGGACCGATTGGGCAAGCAGTACCTGGACCTTCTTGGCAGTTTTGTGTCGGAAAGGCACAACGTTGCTCTCCGAGCTGCAACTGCTGAGTCAATGGCTACGGACTCAGAAGTTCTTGCAGCGCCAACGATTTCCATAGCAACCCCTGTGCTGGTGGATCGCGCAAAGATCGCACAAAGATGCACAAAGCAATAAAAGTTGTGTTACATGCCGAGGGGTGTTTCTTTTTTGTGGAGCTTTGGTTGGTGACAATGGATCCAAAAGTCAAAGTAGAATCCGCACAGCCACGTAGCAACCACTTTCAGACTCCAAACCTTCCTTGGGTCTCAGGCATCAGTCCTGTCTCAGGGGTGCCCTCTCATTGCAAAGGCGCGCAATGAGTAATGAGACGCTGCCAAAGCTGTCTCTGACTTTTCTACTAGGAGCAAAGGGCATCGCTACTAGGAGCAAAGACGCTACTAGGGGCTCCTGGCATCGCTACTAGGAGCAAGGACGCTACTAGTAGCTCCTGGCATCGAGCAAGGACGCTACTAGCAGCTCCTGGCATCGAGCAAGGACACTACTAGGGGCTCCTGGCAGCGCTACTAGGAGCAAGGACGCTACTAGTAGCTCCTGGCCTACCTACTAGGAACAAGAAGCTACCAGGAATGCTGTGATTCTTCTGTACTTTGGCCCTCAGGTTGCTGAGGTGCGAGCGAGCCGAGCGGGCGATGGACTTGGGCTCTTTGCGAAGGAGTCGCCGCGGCCTGAGTTGCCAAAACCTCTTGTCCAGTGCCTGAAGCCCAAAGATGAGGTTTGAAGAAGGAGATGAGATTTGCGAACTCACCTTTGACAACACCACCATCATGAAACCAAACCCAGCCTCGGCCTTGATTGGGTGTGTCGTTCGGTTCTTGCTTTCTCCTCCTGTGGCTTTGCTTTATGTGTGTTGTCCGAAGGACGTGTCCAGCAAGCTGGAGTCCGGAGACATTGGAGCCCTTGCGTTTCAGGCCCGCATGGTGGAATCAGCAGCATGAAAAAACAGGGTTCTGGCTCGCGTGGCTTGGACTTTTTTTGTCACTGACTTGTGCTTGCGATTGGGGCCCGTAAAACATGCTGCTGAGGTTCTGAAAGCCAGCCGTTCGCCGCAGTTGCATTCTCAGATGAACAATCGCGCTGGGCCGCTGGACCATTCCTTCCACAGCCTGGTTTTGACACGTGCTTCTTGACATTCTCGCCGGTCGACTCCTTGTGAAAGTCTGATCACGGGGATTCATAGCACAACGTACAAGGCACAATGCATACACAGAACAAGCGGCAGCGTCAGTAATTCGGCCTTCACTGCTGGAAGGAGGTGGGCGACTTCTATATATATATATATACTGATGATTAGACTTGGCGTTATATTTCCATCTTCCAAATACATGTTGGAGCGAATTGACCCAGCACTCCCACTGAACCGTCCCTTGGGGGAGCTTCAGAATCAATTTGATGCTTTAAGAACCGTTAAAACTATGTATGCTGCACAACGGCCATGGCTGCAGGGTTGCTGCGGCGTCTTTCGGAGGGTGTGCTTTTGGATGAATTCGCAGTGGCACTCTTGAAGGCATGCTTTGAAGCATGGGTGACTTGCACAAAGAAGTGTAACGTAGAGACCAAGTTGAGGAAGGAAATTGCTGAACTTCGCTCTGAACTGGTGGAAGCCAGGAGGCTGTGTGCCTTGAGTCAAGCGCGTGTGAAGCAGCTGGAGGTACAAATCACCACCGAACAAGAGTGGATCTTTGAGACAGAGAGGTTTTGCCAACGCAGCGAAGTCTTGAGCAAGCCTGTCCACAGTGACGAGAATCGGCTTCAAGAGATGATGTTTGAACGAGATCAAGCGATGGTAGAGAGGGAGCAGCTGAGACTAGAGCTGACCGCAATGCAGCTGGTCAGCCAAGCTCGTGAAGACTTTGCCTCTGCAGCGAGCACTCCTCGCTCACCTCGACTGCAACGGGCGCAGCTGGCTGCTGTGACTCGACAGCTGCAAGACTGCTGCATTGGTGTAGCTCCGACGCAGCCTATGCCTCAGCAGGGCTACTGACACGAGATACATGATTACATGCCTTTAAAGCACAGGCAGGTGCAGGCACAGACGAGGGCAGTGTACACTGTAACTCTATCACCAAGCTGAGGTGTGCGGTAGTAAAATCAATAACGTAACTTGACTAGTTTGGTAAAACTGTGCAAGGACTTCGACCACCGTTGCGTCAAGTTCTCCGCGACGACATTTGCCCGTGGCTGTCTCACACAGGGAGCGGCCCTCTGTCAGATACCAAGCTTTCCACCTGCACATGGCAGTTGGGCTGAGAGAGAGAGAGAGAGGCTGTCATGAAAGTTATAAGCATGCTGTATCTACAATTTAGAGCTTTACCTAATTTGATCCACCACCATTGGGCTTAAATGGGCTTTAGAGCACTCGTGATTTCAGGCAGCTGCTTCAAGAAGGTCATCCCCAACGTTGCGTGGATGATACTTGTTTTGGTTTTGCTGAGTGATTGGATGCTTGCACTTTTGAAGCTCAGGTCTGCTGGGGAGAGATTGTCCAGTCCGTTGCTTGGATAGATTGAAGAAGTCCGAGTTTTTGCTGATTTTCCAGCGTCCTCCAGGCTGCTTTTGGCTCCAGGTTGTTTTTAGTCGTGTTTGGAATATCGCCCCTCTGAACAACTTGTCAGGTTTTTCAGTGCAGATCCTTGACTGCAATTTGAAGTGGCCATTGACCATACTGCTTGCACTTCTGGACTAATGAGGCCAGCGTTGGTAGTTTAGGATTGATAATCATCCATGGGCTGCCCTTCAAATGAGAACTGAACAACTCTTCATTACACACACACACATGCATGCACACAAACCGGCAAACATATAAGCAATGAACACACAAAGATATTTTAGATACATACATACTTATGTGGTTGATTGTAGTTGCATAGCACATGCACACGGAATGAACGTGTCCGAATTGAGCGCAGTGCGCAATGCAGGAACGCCAAGCTCGAACGTAAGGTCCAAAGTTTGGCAGCCTTTGAGCACCTCCGTAGCTGCACCACACCTCCTGCTCAATCTGATGCAGTGCGGAAGCTTGCGGCGGTCGTAGCCAATAGGATCCCATAGGGTCTTCTAGTGCTTAGTTGCATGATAAATACGTTGAAGAGTCTTTGTGCAATGCCGTCATAGGCATTTGCTTGGAGGATGCTTTACCCGAAGCCCACCGATGTTGACAGCTATTATGTTTCACCCGCAGTCTGCCAATGGCAGAATCGTTGTAAAATAGATAGATGTATTGATCAAAAGTTAGGGGCTGGGCACGAGAGCCAGGAAAGGGAAGCTTCAAAAGGCCCTTGATGCGACTCGATGTGGGCATATTCGCAGGTGTAAGGTTAGTGGGACGTCTACATGAGCAGCACGACGGGCTTTGATGTTCATCATGTGAAGACAATGGCCAAAACATGAAGTGTCTCGCAATAGTCCAGCAATAGCTCATTCCTTTCAACATTTGGGTCATGAAAAGTGGTGCAACACGCATGGCCCTTGCGATGTCGCACCACACTGCACCAACTCTGGAGGTTGAAAAAATGCGTGAAACAAGGCCAGAGCCAGACATGTTTTTGTGATGGTGTGATGGTTGCCTAGGCCAGGCCCATGGAAAGACTGGTTTGAGACAGGGGTCAGCCCTCCAGATGCACACCCGTCCGGACCACAGGCTTTTTTTAGTGTGTTCCACATGTTCTTGCAATCCTTGCGCTGCGGTTCCCTGTATGGTCCTTTCTTCTTCTTTTTCTCCTCCTTCTTCTTTGTAATTTTTCTTTGACAACTCGGTTTGCTTGTTGGCTGTTTGCTAGGCAGATCCCTCCAGCCGTAGCCCACCCTCTCCCAGACACCCTAACGGTAGGCTACGCCCTTACCCAATCTAATTCCACCAAAAACATGACCCAACACGGTCATTTTTGACGCGTTGTATGCTTGTGGAGTCCGATGTGCAACGAATTGATTCATTGTCTGTACACAGTAAACCATTGAGACTTGCATCACATCTATGGACAACCCAACACCTTAATCCGCAATGAAGAGCACGTTCATTGGCTTAGCAAGAGCACGTTCATTGGCTTAGCAAGTCAATTGCTGTGCAGCTTTGAATGTGCTGTGTCAAATGGGCCCTTTGCTTCGTGTCCAAGCTCCAAGTGCTCAGCTCCCAGACAGCCTTCTTACTTAGCACCACTTGCCTCAGACATGGTTCTTGCAACTTATATATGTACTAGGTATATATGCATATTTGTAAATACATTTATAATACGTCCGTATAGATGCATGCTTCTCCATTGGTCTATGCTTTATGTAAATGGTGCTAGCACGAACGTATATTGTGGCAGTGAGGGTGCGACCGACACACCTGAATAATGATGATCCTGATTTATTTCAAACGTGATTTTTTCTACAGGGGGTTCGACGATGGATGATGGGCCAAGACTGACGTCGTGAATGATGAACCTGCTGCAAGTAGAAGCTCTCTCTCTCTCTCTCTCTCTGCTGAAATGGGTCTGAATTTGTTGCTGGTTAGAGAGTTGAAAGCGACCAGGCTGAAATTGCTCCTCAACGACCCGCAGCTGGCAAAGTATATCTGGACTGATCGCACTTGCCGTCGTCTTTGGCACCTTTATGTTGCTTTTGTTCCAGTTGCTTTTGCTGTAGTCGAAAACACATGTGGTGGAATCGGAATCTCCATGTCTGGGTGAGCCAAAACATGCCACAACAAAAAGGATCGAGCAAACAGAAAGCCAGCAGTGCAGGAGCTCCACTACCTGTGGCGGACAGATGTCTGGCCTAGCTCTGCAGGTTGGCATGACTTGGGCCAAAGGATGGTGTTGCGGCGTTGCGTGTTGTTTGGTCGGTGTTCCATGCGGCCTTGCTTAGGCCAGAGATGACCTGGAGCAGCTTCAAGGAAGCGCTTCCTTTGAGGACAGGTGCATCATGCATGAGGCTGTATGGTACAGTGATGACATCACAGGATTGGACAGATACGTTGGCCCTGGTGATGCCTTGGCCCCGGTATGCGGTTTGACCGGATGTACTGATTCCTGATGCTCTTGCATTGCTTGCTTCTGCAGCCTTTGCGAAAGGTCTAGATCTGTCATTGAAGACAGGGAGGAGAGGCTGGGTGGTCCGAGGCACAACCTAGACATTGATTCATGTGACTACTGCCCAGGCCATTGCTGGTCATGGGGTTGGATCTACTGCAGGCGTTGCGCGACTTGTGGTTTGAAAGCAATGCTACTCGGATCCGGGCCTCTTTGAGTTGACGGTTTTGGTCAAGGCTGCAGAAGATCCGGTCTTGAAGTTAGAGCTGAACTATGGGAAGGTGCTCAAAATGATCCTTTTTGCCAACAACACTCCAACCCCACTTGGAATCTATACAGTATACTGTAGACTTTATTTAGCTGGAGGAGGGTGCCGTGCTCGGCCTGGGTGGCCGGGGCCCGGAGAAGCTGGTACATGCCTCGATGGACAATTGCAATGATGAATTGCCGGTGCATCATTCTTGGGTGATTGCGACTCCCATTGATTGTACTCCATAGCATGATGCGCTCAATCTTGGTTTTGGAACATGAGCCTCGCCACCAAGTTGGGCATCAAAGTCATAGCCCTCGAAACCATTGAGGCGGAAAGCGTGCTTCGTGTCACGAATTCAGAGGCATTCTATTTCGAACACCAATGCTTTGAGGTAGGAACTGAGTTGACTATCAGCTACTTGCTGGGATCTCAGGCTTCAGCGCCTACAATCTTTTCGGCTTCTAAGTGTACTTTTCTCAGGCCTCAACCTCATGCAGGTGGTTACTTGGAACGGTATGGGTTCGTGCGTGGCCCTTGGGCATCGAAATTGAGCCTGTGTGAATGTTGCCATCGGGGACGATGAGATTTTTTTTGGCCAAGTTTCAGTTTGTGGATGAACGCTTCGCCATTCCTTGGTTGCACAGTCACAGGCCCACTTGGCTTCAAGGCACACTTGCTGAGGCAGAGAGCAAGCAGACCAAGTAGGATGCTGTGCCAGCTGTCGAACCATGGAACCGGGGTTTTTGCAACCCCATTCATGACAATGTTGACACAAGTTGACACACATAAACTTAAGCTGAATGCGCATTTTTTTTATCATTTTTTGGCTGTAAGATTTGGAATCAGGCTGGAGATCATTCATAAGTGTTTCACGACTTTCGGTGCTGCCTGTCAGTCTGCAATGCAGCTTTCTATTGCTCCAGTGGACGATGAGGAGACTGAGACATGCTCCGCATCGCGCTCTGGCTTCTGTTGAATGCTTTGAGATTTTCCGTGTGCCTTCTGCAAAGACTTGGTCGCGCAGGACGATTTTGCGGGCATCAAGGAAAGTTGCCTGGAGGACATGCCCACACCTGGTCACATTGTCAATCCAGCTGACGTGACTGCGTCTTACGCAATCCAAGGACCTGGGCTTGAGTGATGCACCCTTGAGCTTTACTTTCAGCCTTTCAGACGGACACTTTGCAGATTGAGTTACTGTATCTTTATCACTTGTGTGCATGGGCAATAGCGGATTGACATCCAAGGAATCTTGGCGCCCAGGGAGATTGATGAATGGGAGAAGAAATCTGAGCTTGAAAAGGCCCTCTCCTGCAACAGTGTTGAGCAAGCTGCATTTTCAGTGTGCTCATCATCACTTGACGCCAGATGACCCATGTGTTGCGCTTCCAAACTTGTGGTGGGACCGATTCTTTCCTTCTGGATGCGGTGTGATGCTGAGACTTTGAACGCACTTTGCCACTGTGTCATTTTCTTCTTATCTTGACTTGATTTCGGCAGAGACGGGATGCTGTGTGATGCTATTGTCTCAACGTTGGATTATGATAATTCTATACATGTACACATATAGTTCTTTGCACACTTGCGGAGGTCTATGTCGAGCGTTTCTGGTACAACTGCAACTTTCGCATTTCCCGAAACAACGAGGTTCCGGATTCCAGCAAATTGCATTTGCAAACAGCTTGTTCATGGCAATCCATTGTGTCTCAGATCTTGGTGTGCCAAGCTGCCATGGCTGAGTGTGACAGATGGCTGGAGCGCTTTGATGCCATAGAGGCCGGAGAGTTGGCATCAAAGAATGGAGCTCAAGTGTGTCTAAAAGCCTCCGGCAACCCCATCGGCCCCTCACTAGCCGAGAGGCGGGGTGGCCGGGAGGCCGTGGTGATGTCCACAGCCATATCCTTGTATGACAAGTTAAGCCATGCAGCAATGCATGTCTCAGTATGAGCATTATATGGCGAAACTGAGAAGCATTTATCTTGTCGAAACTGGCGACAAAAAGATAGAACAGTTCTGGGACAAGATCGCTGGTTGAAGCCTAGCGGTAGCCCAGCATATTGGACAGAAGGACGATGACAAAGTGGACAAACAAGACGAAGAGGACCAACTATGTCCTAGGCCCGGCAAGTTCGCCAACACGTTATTACCTGAACATCGCAGAGCTTTTCCAAGAGGACGAGGACAAAAAAGGACAAGCAAGACGAACAGGAGGACGAAGAGGACCAAGAGGAGGACGAAGAGATACGGTGTGGGTGTGGAGGATGGGGGCTTCTAGACGAAGCCAAAATCCATCCAAGAGGAATATAGCACAACACTCATCATAACTATATAACAAAACAAGCACAGCATCACCGATTAGTTTTGCACAAAATGTTTTTGAACTCAGGACGCTCTGCTGCAAAGTGTGTGATTTTATCGCGTTCGCACCGATACACCGATACACAGATACGCCAATACACAGAACTGCACCGATACACCAAGGGTTCAGGGTTTAGGTTTAAGGTTTAGAGTATCGACTAGCGTATCGTCGCAGTGGCGTAGAACGATGCGTCCAACACCAAACAGCGCAATGGCTTCATTGCGTAATCACACTTAAGGACACAGCTTGCAAGCACGTTCCACGTTCAAAGTGCGATTCACAAACAGCGATTTTTTCACCTCGCTGATATGGCACTACTCCGACATGCACATCCGGCGCAATTGAATGGAAGCACAACATCAAACAGTCAAGCATGTTGCACCTCGCATCCTCTCACCACATACGAGTCATGTTTCACCCTCACACCTGTGGCTAAAGAAGTCAGATCAACAACTAGGTTGAGCGAAGCATTTACTTGGCACATGCACGGGCAAGATTGTTGAAGCATCAGGGCCCTTTTAGATTGATTGTCACTTGTAGACCTGCTGGACACGGTCCTGCTTTCTTGCGCTTGTGTTTTGCTTGCTTTTGTTTTATTGTTTTTTATTCTTTGGGATTCATTTGCCTTGAAAGTTCATGACGCCACCGTCGGAGGGCTTTGTGTGTGCTTTATATACAAGCCATCCGAAGTTGGACACACCCAACCGTTTGCAACAAAAGGACTTGAGGAACAGCGAAAAGAAGCCGACCACCGCCACCTTACGAAAGGTGTGAATATGATGGGAAGGGTAATAGACGGGGAATACTGGACAGAAAAAGGACAGCCCTCCGATTTCACATTTGATTTGTAGAACTGTTGTTGTCTGCTTTGCTGCGGGCCAAAGATTCCGTTGAATAGGCGCAGCGCACAAGCAGCGCGATTCGAATTTGTTCTTAGCATGAATCTGAAAGAGTCCAAAGAAGGACCTGTTAGATTAGAATCATGACAGGTTCAAGTTCAAGTCGAAACAACAAACGCCAAAGACGAGGAAGCGACGTTGGAGTTTTTTTTTGGTGCCTTATCGGGCAAATGTCAGGGCTGTCTTTGCCCCTGCAGCATTTGTTCAATCGAGCAGCCAGGTTTGTGTAGCTATGGTAGATTCTGGAGATGTCTCTCCTTTGCGGCGGAGGATTTTTTCCTCCATGTCTGGCTTGTCTGGCACAGAATCAAACTCCCCCAAAGACCTCTCTCCAGCCAGAAGAAGACTCATGTCCAGCTCCAAGGAAGCTGCCAGACTGCATCGGCAAAAGGTGCTGTAAGTAGTAAGTAGTGAGCTGTGAATGATATCGATACTGTTGTTGTCTTGCATATATATATATATATATTTGTTCATGTTCTTGTTTGCAAACCAAGGTGTCTCGCGGCATGAAGAAACCTCGCAAGATTGCAGCTCTTGTGGTTTTTAGAGTGTGCGTCGCCAGGGCTATATTGCATCAGGCACATCAGGTTCTTTCACAAAAGAAAGGGGGACGGCTAGTTCCTTGTGTTTTGCGCACAATCCCATGTTCAGACAAAGGTAAAAGAGCAAGGTAGTTTGCACGGGTATTTCATTCTCTATGCACAACGTTTGGTTGACTCAGACACATCCACAAATCTATTTACAACAGACTCTCTTTCTTGCAATGTTCAGGGCGCCCGCTTTGGCTTTAACATAATTGTTTACCCTCCTTGACTACGAGTGACTACCGCCCATTCCCTACTTTTGTAGCTGAAGCTGTTGCGGCTTGATCTGGAACTTTATGATCGCTTTGAGGTCCTGAGGGATAAGGCAACGTCACTTAGTCGACCTGTGCAGGTCCAAGAACACAGGAGGACCCATGACCTCATGGCAGCGTTCGATTCTGGGCATGATGACCACCTTTCATCCAAGGACCGGGCCACGGGTGGTGAGATGGGGACTGAGGTGCAAAGTCTCAACCCTCCTTTTCTTTTGTTTTTTCCACGTGTTTGAGGAGCTGGCGTCTTTGCTGCAAGCCAACGGGGTGGACGTGTCCCAGGAGAGTATGTACTGGAGTGGCATGTGGCACCGGATTCATAGCTTAGCATTCTGCGAGCATTTCGCCGCAATGGTTTGTCTGGATGTAGACAGGACCAAGTGGGCCGCATGTTTGGTCGCGTGGACAATGAAGGTGATGGCTTCGATGATGTGGAGCTGACTCGCATATTGAGCATCGTATCTGGACTGCCAGCGGTTTCGGAGCGCGTCAAGATGGCAGCGCAAGCAGGAAACAGCTGGATGGTGGACCTGATCCTTTGTACAGTGTCTTGCTCATCAGGCTATTTCTCAAAAACGTATATATAAGGTTGTGAAGGGAGCGTCTTGTGGCTACATACTTCAGGAGGAAGAAAGTTTGGTAACAGCTTCCCTCCAGAATCTCATTGACATCTCTTTTGCAATGGAATTCCGAAAAAGTATTTTCCACCCCGAACTAAATACTATATATATGTAGATTTACTTTGGGGTGGAAATTGTTCCGCCGGAATTCCACTGTGATTCCCTGTGGGGTTCTAAGGGGAAAGGGTTGGAGGTTATGTAAGTTATGTATTCATAAGCTTGTTGTCAACTTTTGTCCTGTCTGTGCATCCCGGACGGGCTGTTCCTTGAATTCTTTAAAGGACTGGACTGGCTTGTTACAATTGTGTATTTAAGAAATATTTGGCAAAGTCCAAACGTAGAGGCATTCGATTTAGTACCAGTACTCTTCAGAAAGTTTGTTAACAACTTCCCTCCAGAATCTCATTGACACCTTTCTGTCCTTCCCAATAGAATTCCCGCGGAGGACCACCCTGAACTAAATTCATAAGACTGTAAATTTGCTTCGGGGTGGACATTGCTCTGTGCAAGATGAAGGGGAAGGGTTGCAGGTCCTGAATTTACAAGCTTGTTGTCAACTTTTGTCCTGTCTGTGTAGTCTGGGGCCTGATGATAATTGTGCAATGCTCCCAGGGGTCTGATGCACGGGCAGCCTTCAAGACCCTTTAAAGCTGATCAACTTCTAACTTAATCGTGCTGTCATGTTTTCATATCATACCCCCAGCATAGAATGCATTGGCGCCTTTCGCATCCACACTTGCACTTTTCTTGCTTTTGTTCCTGCTGTGTGGTTTCAACTGCCCCACATTTACATAGTTCAGGTGCTCATTGTTTGGAACTCCTGAGGCAGCATTTGCGTTCCAGTCTGGATTCATCAGCCTGTGGTGTTGTACACTTCCTTCAAGAATCCATTGGAAAGTGGTGGCGGTAGATGTGGTTTTGCCAGTCAGAATCGTGATGTTTGTTGCCTTGGACATTTTCATTGGTTTTGTGGTCATAGATGTTTCAAGCACCCAACCGTGCATTCCTCTTGCAAAACTGCTGCTTGATGTCCTTCTCCTTTGCGCCCTGCGTGGCTTTTCACTTTTTTGTGTCTGGACTCCGGCTTTATGCACTCACCTCCTTTGCCACGGCTCGGCTGGCAGACCCACATGTTTCACAATCTTTTCGACAAGCTTCCATGATCTCTTTGCGCTTACCTTCCACAGACGGAAGCAGTTGGATGCATACAGCCTTCAATCCGAGGTTGCCGGAGTTGGCTTATATTATATTGTTGGGCAGTCAGATGTGCTGGAAAAGCGCTGGCTCCAAAGCTCCTTCCGTGGAGCCGTGCAATTCCACCGAATGCAGTCCAAGTGTGGCAAGCTCAACAAACAACTTGGGGACTTGTCTGATGAACGTACCAAGCTTGAGCAAAGCATCAAGGAAATTGAGAAGGAATCTCCTACCAGCGGAGGTGAGGATCGGTTGTCGGAGCTCAGCAGAGCCTCATCTGCAACGGGGGAAAGAGACAAGGTAAAATCAGGATACACCATGATACACCTATAGAGTCAGGGGTAAGGTCCGGTAGCTAAGTTCTAGGTAAGTTACGCAAGATAAGGTGCTATAATGTTATATATAGCAATGATTAAGCCTTAAGTTACTACATGCAAGGACGCGGAAGGTTATTTTGATGCAAGCTTCTCCGACTGAGTTCAAGAGAAGCTTTTTGCATTGACAGCCGCAATGAACATGAAGGTAGTGCTAAAACCGCAGCGCTTTCATCTTCAGGATTGTCAACACGCTTGGAGGAGGTCACAGAGCAGCAGAGAGCTGCAACGGATCAATTGCAGGCAGAAGTGTCAAAGTGGCAAGCTGCTGCTGAAGAGGCGTAAACCTGTGATCTTTCAGAGTAGCAAAGCTCCAAGAGTCACAGTCACAGAGTCCGAAGTGTCAACGAGGCCATGAGACAGGCCAACAATGTCAAGTCCAAAATGGCTAGCATGATGACCTGCATCAAGGGCTTCTCGGCGGTTGCAGATCTCACTTTGCGCGACATTTGGACCCATTTTGGCCATGACTCCGTAAAAGTAGTGTGCTCCCCTAGCATTGCATGCACTGCTGAGCTCAGGTTTGGATGCCTTCAGCGGCACTGGGACCAAACGTTTTGACAACGAAGGGGCGCAGCAAGGCTTTTGCCACAAGACCAATGTTGGCTTTTGCCTCGCATCTCGGATCAAACTGTTTGGGACAGCGATGCCCCCCCCAGACTCATGCTTTCTCAGGACACTATCACATTCGGAACCATCGAGGATGGCAAACTTCTGCTTTTCGAGACGTCTACCCGGCACAAAATTGGTGAAGGACGTGATAGCGCATATCGCTGCAAAGAGCTCGAGACAGGCGAGGAGTTCGCACTCAAGATGTACACAATGAGCAACCCGAGCCAAAGGAGATCGATCATGCATGATCTTTACGCTCATCGAGTTTTGCTTGGAAAGCACCCTCGGATAGTGAGTTACAAGCGCGTTATAGAGTCAGAGACGACGATCTTCGTCTTGATGGAACTTTTAGCCGGAAAGGACCTTTTTGATGTGGTTTGCGCTCGAGTGCTTACAGAGGAGCAGGCTCAGCCACTCTTTCGCGAGCTTGTGGAAGGCTTGCAGCACTTGCACAACAACAAAGTGATTCATTGTGACGTGAAGCCTGAGAATGCAATGGTCCTGGGTAGTATTGATTGTGGCACCGCACACCTGAAGCTCATTGATTTTGGTTGCTCCTGCTTCAATGACTTCATCAAGGAGAGTGAGACAACTGAGAAACGAGCTTGCGTTGTTTACGACAGGTATATGCCTCCGGAACTGGGCGCTTCACCCACAGCGGCGCCAACTGTAGCTACTGACATTTGGCGCCTCGGTTGTACCCTCTACGTGATGCTGGTGCGAAGCCCGCCCTTCCATGATGACGCGCAGACTCGCCCTGGCATCGAGGCTAGGGAGCAGGGCAGATTCTACAAACCTGAGTCATACGAATTGCTGCTTGGCCCACATTCATGAGGTTTCAGGACATTTCATGAGGGGAAAAGCTTTCGGCCTTTTGGATTTCATTTTTCTTTGAGGTTGTCAGATGAGGCCAAGGCCATGACCTCAGTGGCGTTGACCAATGCTTGCTCCAAAGTTGTGGCGTAGAGATTTGCACTGAGCTTTGTAAGCTCCAAGGACTTGCTGACACTGCTTCTGGCAGGGGATCCAAGCAAGAGACCAGATGCCAGCAATATCCTTCAGCACCCTTGGCTTCAAGGCCCCCAAAGTGGGTCCTGATTTCACGTGAGTTGAGAGTTTTATAGCTGCATGCTCAAAATCATATTGTTTCGATCCAACTTGATTCAACCATGCCGACTTAATTTCAAGTCGACTGAAGACGAGCAGCGTTCAGACGGACTCTGTGCGCACTGGCAGCACCATTGTTGTCACTAGTAACTAGTAAATGCACTCGTTTGGGGACTGGTGCAGAGAACATATATATGTTTATACATATATATGGGCGCGTGCGTTTCGGGGCTCCCTGTAAACCATAAGAGACAATAGACAAATGGCGCACCCATATATATATATATATAAATAGCATTATAGAGTAGAGTAGATGCAGATGCTGAAGCAGCTGCATTGAGCAAACATACAAAGTGAAGGATACATACAAATTGAAAAACTGCAACAAACGTGTTCCTTCTTTCTTTCCTCTTTGCAGTGATCTGACACCGAGGCACAACTTGGTTGGTCCCCAATGCAGGAACAATTTACAGCGAGAAAACACAAATGCAACAAACGTGTCCAAAATCATCCCTAGTCTATCTGGTTTCGCGTTGGTTTTGGACATGTTCTTTTCTGCCTGTTGTCCTAGGCTCAACAGATTCCACACAGATGTATCACACACACATATATATATAAAAATTTAATCTACCTACCCCTATATACATACCTTTTTGGTGTATTGTAGGTATTTTGGAAAGTTGTAGTGACTATGAAGCCCAAACCATTGTAGCACAAATAAAGGCAATCGCACTTTGTTCTTGAATCATTCTTAATAACCTTCATGAACGGCGCTATTGTTAAAAAAGGAAGCCAATGATTGAAATTGCGAGCTCCTGCTTGACTAATTGGTAGAGCCCATGTAAATTATAAATTGTGTTTAGGGTAACTTTCAGCCTCCCAAAGTCAACTATATACAATGAGTTCCTTTGACATGGATGTGTTTAGATCCATTGTCTTTGTAAAGAACCATGACCATTAAATAACCGGACATTTTTTGACAAATTATGGAGGTGTCTTCCATGAAGATATTTTTGGCAGCCCCTGGTACATAATATTCATGAGGAATAAGGATGTTATACAGGCATGCGTTTACTAAGAATACACATTCAAAATATGGATGCATCAGAAAAACGTTTAAACAAAAGAATCTTTGGAAAGGAAAAAGTCAGTGCACAAGCTACTTTTTTTTATCACAGAAATTCTTGGAAAGGATCTCTTTCTTCAAGGGGCAATGAGGAATTGTTTGGATTCCTTATTATAGCCTGTTCTTCTGTCGTGTTTAATATTTATTGAAGCATATTTCCTATTATTTAAGCAATGTCAATGTGAACATAAAAGGGACGATTCTACAAGTGACAGTTGGTGTTATAATTGAATACACAACAAGAAGGAATAACATATCAAAGTTGTCAGAAGGAACGTGGCAAACAAGCTGTCAGATCTGTGTATTGCACCACTTGCCCAAGTAGAAGGGGAACATATCATATAAATAACAAATATATATATATATACACGAGTGAAACCACTATATACCACTACCATACATGAACAGCAAAGAACACATCTAGTGAGCAAACACATCATAGAAACTATAAAGTTCCAGGGGGACCCAAAATGTCCGAGGGCCCACATAATATATACGTATAGAATTGCGTCTGAGGGTGAAGTGTCAGCCGTCCACTGTTGCATTGGCGCTGCCTGCGGATGTTTTCAGAAGTTGGCCAGATGATGCACAAGTCAGAAGCTTCGCCGCAGAATTGCGGGCGATCGGCGATCGGAGCTGGGACTCGGAGAGGACATTGAGTGCAGCCATAGGAAAACCAGCGCTCAGCGCACAGCAGATCTATGAGCACAGCATTTACGGCATAGCGCAGTTCCACCTGTCTCAGTTTGTTTGGCTGCCATTCTGGATGCTTTCAAAGAGCATTTTTGATCGTGCGCAGGCTGCTGGATCTCGACCTGATTGCGATCTAGCCAAGGCAGCAGCACCCTGCTCAGTTGGCAGGTCTTCACTGGTGAAACAGTCAACCAAGCTTCATAATGTTCCCAATCAGCCATGGACCATTATCACAAAAAGTGGCATTGGCTGGCGGATAACGCCGGGGCTGATGAACATGTTCACTTGTGTTGTGAAAGTAAGGATGATGTTCGCCGTGCAGAGAGGGAACTCCTGGTTTCTGTCAAATTGGTCTTTGAACAGGAGTGGTGCGTGGAAAAGGGTGGCCGTGCGGCAATGCGGGCAGCGTTTGAGCTTTGCACAGATATGCTCTCATTTTAGAACTTGCCATTGCCAAATGCTGCACGGTCCCAAGCTCGCATCATATATTGAGGAGCCTGTTGGGTGACCAGAACATGTGCACAGCCCCTCCTTGCTCCCGTGCAGGAGTTGGACTTGATTCAGATTGATGACACGATACGATACTGGGCAGACAGAGCGTTGGTTCCTCAGAGATTCTCAAGCACTGCGGCACTGGGTGCTGAACAGCAGACTTCGTGCGCTCAGGATGGACGAGGCCTTCCCAGACAGGATCTCGAAGAATGTTCAAGGGTACTAGTGCTGCTTTGCCTGCATGTTGTTGTGCATTTTTTGAAAATGGCTTAGGTTGAAGCAAGTGGGCACTTGTTTGGAGATGAGTCGAGGTTCTCAACATTCTTGTGGTGGAGACTAAGGGCTGTCCCCTATTAGCAGAACTCTTGCGACGCTCATCAAGTGGAAGCTTGTCTTGTTGCTAGGCCATTTCAATGCATTTTTGGCCTTGTAGATAGCTAGGCTTCCTGCTATACTTTCAGTGCCTCCACTTTTTGTGTGGCCGAAAAAGCTTGCTCCAGTGGATTGTGTTATGCAGCCGCGGCGTGTGGGTGTTCTGCAGCTTATTTTATTTTGACCCTTTTTCTGTAGATTTTGTGCATTTTGAATGCATTATTTTGGTTCAAAGGCCGCAGAGTTTGATGCTGCAATGGCAATGTGGGGTTTGTAGGGCCTTGTGCCCAACCCCTCTGTCATGCTGGGATCCTAGCTGATTCGGCTTGGGTAAAGAGGCGTTGAGAAACAGCTAGAGATAGCTGCAGTAGAGAGAATGCCGAGTGCTTGCCAGATTGAAGCGAGTGCTTGCCAGATTGAAGCAAACTGCATGGAAACCGATTCAAACCTAACCCTTGGGGTCCAAACACCTTGTTTTCCAATCCCACCACAGGTTGGAAAATGCCTCGGTCACTCTGTTATTGACTCATTGACTCATTGACCTGAGTTCCATGGGTTGTTTGTCTTCGTGCCCTGGATTGAAGAGACATGGAGTGGCAAGCGTCAGACTTGTCACCTGGGCACACTCTCGACCTGCCCGAGGTCCTTGCAGCAACTCCTGCGTCTTGGAAACCCGGCACACTCGCAGGCACACCGTTTCCAAAAAACAGCATATAGAGTGACTAGAGAACGACGTGGAAGTTGATATTGTGCTGCTTTGATTTGTTAAGTTGTCAGGCTGATGGTTCTCTTGGGTTCTCATCAAACTCGAGAGGTGGGATATGAATGAAGCTTTAATTTGTGTTTCTGTGTGGGAGCCTGGCGGCAAGGCCAACAGTCGAGTGGCGGACAAGACCTGCCACTGCCAAGCACCAAGATTACAGGCCTGTGCTGCTGTCACGTCTCAGACCACTTTCCTCAGGCCACCACCACCACCGGTGGATCTGAGTGCAGCAGTAGCGAAAGCTGCGTTCGGGCCTGAGGGTGTTACAAGCTTGAGGGAACTCAGAATTTGAAGGAGTCAGAGTCTTCCAATCTGAGGAACTTTCTGGAAAAGCAGAAAGCTGCCAGGTCCTGACACGAGATAGACAAAACAGCAATGAAGCTTCAAACGGAATGAATTGCACGGCATTTGCAGGCTGCGAAAGCAACGCGATCCTGACAAACCTTCAGACGGTCGCGGTCAGCGAAATAGAGGTGCAGGGCACTGATTTACATAGTGTATGCAAAAAGTCACTAATTTGTTGCTTTGGATTCAGGAAATTCTCGGCGTCGATTTGGCACTATAGTGCTTTCACATTTGCTTTCATAAAATAAAGATTGACAGATCACCCTGTAGTTACTGTACTTGCTTGCTTTTTCCTCTATTGCTGCCAGTTTAGTCGTCGACCACAAAATCGAGAGAAATCTGATCAAGATCTGTTGTGCGGTTTGCAGTTTTCGGAAGGTCATTGAATTTTTTCAATGCCTGTATCAGACCCTTTACAGAACACAAGCGTCGACAGAGACATGGCCACGTTCTGCTTGCCTGTCTTTCCCTGGTCTTTATTCCAGGACAGCGAAGGTTTGGTGTCTTCAGCCACGATAAAGATTTCGGAGCAGGAGCAGATCAAGCTCCGGAGCAAGTTCTGGAGCAGGTTCCAGCGCAAGTTCCGCGGAGGCCCTGGAGCAAGTTCCGGAGCAGGTTCCGAGTATGATAAGCCCAAGAAGGAGCCCAACAGCTGCGCATGTTCCGCCCATTAGGCAATGGCAACGTCGCAAGTTCACCAACAACTGTTGTGCCTTTGCCAGACAATGCCACGTTCAAAAATATTCAAACATCTGAGCCGTTTCGATGAGCTATGCAAGCACACCAACACGGCAATACGTTTGCATAGCACATGTGCCCTTTGTCGTAGGCTTTGCAGTTTGCAGCTCTTGAACACGCTACCGACGGGTAGGGCGTTCTTAGCACTGTTTGCCAACAGTTTGTTCAAAGTGGAAAGATACCTCAGCTCATTGGCTGCTTTATTTGTTTTGACCCGACACGCAAACCCGAATATGGGCACGTGTCGCCCTATGCATCTGAAGAGCAAAAACCACAAAGATTTTATTTATTTATTTATTTCGTTTCAGGTCAACACCAATCGTACTGTAAAGTTTCTTGAACATCCACAAGTGCAATACATTGTGCGCGCATTCAAGACCTCTTCCATGAACACGAGAACTATATCACCTAAGAGAAATCACCAATGGATCCAGATGAAGGCTGTATCATGTCTCATGTGGGCCATTTACATTTTCCCTCAACGGTGAAGCTTAGGGGTCTTGAGCCATAGTGAAGACCTCGGAGATCGGAGCAGGTCTAGGAGCAGGTGCCGAAGCACGCTGTTTTGATTGTCATTGTTACGCTGATATGCCGGCGTGGTGTCACCCCCTGGACGTTGTGAGGGTGTCATGCTGACATATTGTCATGCTGGCATAGATCACGCTAGCGCGCTAACACGCTGTTGCGTTGAGATGCAATTATTGGGTCACGGTTGAAAGCAGTAATGTCTAAAAAGCACATGCAATTTGTTAACAAACTTGCGCAAGCAAATTTATTGACAGATGCCAAATGTTGCCATTACTAAGTCAGCACATGCATGGCCGCTCAGTTCAAGAGCAAAATCGAGAGCTATGCGGTTTCTTACACTGGACAGCAACGTGCAAAGGTATAGCGCAAATGCACAGGGAACTGAACTCGAAAACAAGTAGAAACACTCAAGCATCAAACGCTAAAGCCAAGCCAAGAGGCGTGCTTTTCGATTGCACATGGATGCAGGTTTGGGAAGGAACAGATTGCCTTTATGCTGAGTGTGAAGAATCCAACCCCGAAAAAGCAAAGAAGAACCATTGAAGGTGTAACACTGCCTTGTTCAACGCCCCGCCCCCCTTGGACCTTTCTCCGAAACCTTCCCCCGGAACCTTCCTCCGAACCTTTTGTTCGGAACCTTCCTCCGAAACCTGCTGCGGAACTTGCTCCGCGGAACCTGCTCCAGCGCCTCCTTCGGAACCTTCTCCGGAACCTGCCCCGAAACCTTCGGAACCTGTTGGTGGATTATTTTTTCCTGAGAGCACGCTGGGTGAATATCCTGGCAGGCACACGTACTGCTTCTCATCTGGCAGGGTGTTCATTTTATTCCCCCTCTCTCTCTCTCTATATGTATATATGTGCATGCAGTGGGAGATATGATATGCGCGTGTGCACATTGCATTGTGATTGGCAATGCTCACATATCCCAGTCTACTGACTTCGGTCCCGCTGAGATACGATGTCTCACCGATCTCGCCTCGAGTAGACGGCCTTAGAATCTGGAGGATGTGAAGGCGGCGGTTTGCACAGCTGACGCCAAGTTTCCAAGTCCCTTGTGTCCGCTCTAAAACCTTCACACGGACCTGCTCTTGATGCTGCTGCTGCTGCTGCTGGCATTGCTGCCATTTTGATTGAGGGCTGGTATGGTCAAGTGAGTGGCCATGACGCATCCTCATGCATCGGGCCCAGCACTAGGCGGACATGTGGGCCACTACCCCAACCCTGCAGTTGAGGGGGTGAGCTAGGGTGTGGACCGTTACAAAACCAACCAATTGCATTTAGCCCAAAGTCGAAGGTTCGGCGAGGTGTGTCACCATAGAAGTGTTTATGCATGTTTATAATATATATATATATACCCAAATAAATGTTGCGGTATAGAAGTAGATATACACATGCATATGCGTTGTGTGGCGCATACAACGGACAGAATGATGTTTTTTGTAGATTGATGATCATGGATGACTCGAGTGGTGCCATGAGCGATGGTCCTGGCCACATCTGGCACAGGCTGCGAGCGCTCTAGGTCCCGAAGGCGATCGAAATCCTTGCAGCGCCGAAGGCCACGTGCGAGCAGGTTTTTCCAATTGGCGATATTGGACAGGACTGTTGATGATGACAGTTGGACTGTTGCGCGAAACAAGCCAATGGTGTTGGTTCTCAGGAGGTCTTCGCTTTTTTTGTTTGGTTTGGGAGGTGTTTGATTCTTTTCGTTTGTTTCCCTGGTGGAATGTGCCGTGCCACCCGCCGTGGTTCACAGTTTAAAGCTTGGTCCTTGTTCAATTTGGGCTCAGGTCTTTATCAGAAGCATGTCACGTTTTATGTGAATCTTGCCTCGAATCCCCTTCAGTGCGGCTCAAGCTTGCTGTGTTGCAGGGTCGCACTTGCTGCTACTCATCTTGTTGTCTCTGTGAGCAGGCGGGAACGATCAGGCAGCAAATCCAACATGGGACGTGGCAGGCAGGAATGCTTGTTCTTCTAAGTCCTTCAACTAGTCAGCTGGAAGCACACATGCTGCCAATAGGTGATGCGGCATACTTAAAGCGCATACGCACAAACGCACAACATATTTTTCCAACTACGCCTTGGGCCTGATGCCACCCTTAGATCGAGGTTGACATGCCTGTACACCAACGCGTGCACATGTTCGCTACAATTTACTATCCAAATGTGTGGCTCTGGCAGTGGCAGAATGACTTTATTGAAGCTGTAGCTGGCTCTAGACCAAGCAACCTGTGGCCCATGGAAACAAATCATTATGTTGTATGTCAATTTACTAATGCGTTTCGGCCCAGGCCGAAGAGTGTTGGCGCAAACCGAGCCGCCAAACCTAAGCCTAGCGACAATCTCAGTAGCGCTGCCAACCTGTCAGACGCAGTGCCGAAATGACTTAGTCAGAGCCAGTCTCTACTCAGGCTTGAGCCGGCCAAGGAGTTGAGTGCAAAGTTTGCTTGGCCAGTGAAGTGAATGGTATGACTAATCACGTCACTACACCCCCACATTCAGGGATGCTTTCGTAGTTCAACAGGGCACTCCACACAGAATCAAGGTCAGCAAAAATAGGAATCAGGAATGACCAAAGCAAGTGGGACCAGGAGTCGTGCACGGAAGCGAGTAGCTGAAGGTTTGCCAGAGAAGAGTTTGGAAGAGGCGGCGGCGCGGCGGGGACGCTAGGGACGCTTTCGAAGGTCATGGCTTGGACACCGAGGGTGCCTTTGTTGAGACGAGAGCTGTAGAGCTGAAA